ATGAGTGTCTCGACATTCTCGCGCAAAGCGACGAATCACCCGGGGACGGCGTCCTCGTGCAGATCACGCGCACGCGACTCCTCGCCGACCAGATCCTGCAGGGGCCCTGGTGTGAGGGCGTGTACGGCCTCCATCCGACCCAGGCGCTCGCCGCGTTCCATCTCAAGGCCTTCGAGTCGCGGTTGGAGACGATCAAAGTCGAGATGCCCATTCCCCTGACCGACAACAGTACGTGCAATCCCCTAGATCATCGCAGAGCAGTGCACGGCAGAGACTGACCGGCGCCCAGAACCCATTCTATTCCATCTCTACGACACGGAAATCAGCCTGTACGAGGTCGCCCTCGTCAAGCCCCCGCCCGATGAGGAGATGAGCAGCCAGCGGCTCGGCCACCTGTACGCCTGCCTGCACGTGGTCAAGCAGTTCTTCGACCTCTTCTTCACCATCGCCCCGGCGGAATACACCTCCCTGGCGCTGCCCTATCTCACCCAGGTGTCACACTGCCTGGTGACGCTCTTCCGGCTGTCGACCCTAGACTACCCGGGCTGGGACAAGGCAGCGGTCAAAGGCACGGTGGACCTGTTAGTGGTTGCGGAGCAGATCGCCACGCGCATGAGCCAGGTGGCCGCGGCGGTCGGGATGCGCAGCGACGGGGCGCTGGGCGATCCGTTCAGCAAGCTGGGGATGATGATGCAGAAGCTGCGGAGCGAGTGGGCGGTGCGGCTGCCCGAGTGTCCCGGGGTGGTGGTCGATCGCAGTGGCGGGGGTGGGGAGGGGTTTGCGTCGAGTATGGAGATGGGCGATCTGGATAGTTTCCTGAGCTGGTCGGAGATGGCGTGGTTGACTGAGGGGAATGGTGCGGGCGGGTTTGCGACTTGGTCGTAGTGGTTACATGTTCAATGCGTCGAGCTTTACGTCTTTGTGTCTGTTATTCTCGTCATCTCTGTCAAAATTCGTCATGTAGGGGAGATAGGTTGTGTGGCGCTTCAGATACCCGGGATAGCTGGATTTATATATTACACTGCTTCCATGACTGAAGCATATGTTCACTCAGTGACAATATTAGACTTTAATCTCTCGATGGCTCTTCAAATAAAACAGTTCAAGAAGCATCACTGAAAACCAGGGTTATCAATGATTGGAATCACAAATAAAACAGCGGTTACTTCGTGCTACTTTACCTCGTAAGCCACGCTAGACAGGAGACCGGGGCCGTTCGTCCTGTTCCGTTCTGCTCACAAAGAACAGCCTATGGAGTACAGCGATCCTATCGCTGGATCATGGTGAAATCAAGATGCCTGTTCGAGCAATATTGTTGCCATATCACTTTTCTCGGTAAATTCCCCAAAGGCAAGATCTCCGACCGGTGACAGCCAACAAGGGATACGGCGTTGACAATTACTGTAGTAAGGACCGGGATTCGCAGAGGGAGAACCGGCGTTCGACAGGGCCAGCGCAAGCCATCACCCGCCAAAAACAAACCGGCGTCCGGCGACGGGAACCGCCAACACCGTCTCCGGCCCCGATACTTAAAACAAGCCCACCCATCGAGCTTCAATCCGCTGTTATTTTGTTAAGTGCCTATCTGAATATTCTCCTGCCACACAGAGCTCAAGCATGGCGCAATCCCTCGAGAAACCCCGATCGTCTAAAAGTCTGCACGCAGCCACGATGAGCCACGACAGCACCAGCACCAGCAGCCAGCCCCATCTGCTGGGCTCCAACCCCACCCCGTGGGAACCGGAACCGGAGCCGCACGACGAGAAGAAACCCATCCACCCGAAGGACGAGTACGAGCCGGAATGGGTGCACGGGTTGACGCTGGTGATGGTGATCGCGGGGATCACGCTGGTCGTGTTTCTGATGTTGTTGGATGTGTCGATTGTTTCGACGGTGGGTCACCCTCCTTTACTGCAAGCACGAGGCGGATACAGCTACACATACAAGGACAGCGGGAACATTGGCTAACATTATGGTTTTTATGGAGACAGGCAATCCCTAAGATTACGAGCCAGTTCAACTCCCTCGAGGATGTAGCGTGGTACGGCAGTGCGTACACGATCTCCAGGTAGGGAACACCCTCGCATAACCCTATCCACCCGTAACCGACAGAACCAGCTAACAACCGGGTGCCATAGTGCCGCCCTGCAACCCCTCACCGGCAAATTCTACACCTACTTCTCCTCGAAATGGACCTTCCTCTCCTTCTTCGGGCTGTTTGAGCTGGGCTCCCTGATCTGCGGGGTGGCCACCTCGTCCAAGATGCTGATCATCGGGCGCGCGGTGGCCGGGATGGGGTCGTCGGGCATGCTGAACGGGGCGCTGAACATCCTGGCCGGGGCGGTGCCGAACAAGAAGCGGCCGGCGATGATTGGGGTGATCATGGGGGGTGAGTACCGCTTTGCCTTGCCCGTGGGAAGAGGAAACTGACTGACGATGGCGTGCAGTGGGACAGCTCGGCCTCGTGGGCGGGCCGTTGGTCGGCGGTGCATTTACAACTTACTCGACCTGGCGGTGGTGTAAGTCTTTTCCAATTACCCACTCTCATCGCAAGCAAACACCCAACAGAGACTAACACTTGTTACCAACATAGGCTTCTACATGAACCTGCCCATCGGCGCCCTCGTCGGCGCCCTCCTCCTTTTCACCCGCATCCCCGACCAAAAGCCCAAACCCCCGGCCCGGGAAGTGCTGCAATCGCTCTTCCTCCAGAAATTCGACCTGGTGGGGTTCGTGCTCTTCGCGCCGGCGTCGATCATGCTGCTGCTGGCGCTGCAGTACGGCGGCAACAGCTACGCGTGGGACAGCGCGACGGTGATCGGGCTGTTCGTCGGGTCGGCGGCGACGTTCGCGGTGTTTGCGCTGTGGGAGCGGCGGATGGGCGCCGAGGCGATGATCCCGGGCCACCTGGTGTGCGACCAGATCGTGCTGAGCAGCAGTCTGCTGTCGATGGTGATCTTCGGGTTCACGATGACGCTGTCGTACTACCTGCCCATCTACTTCCAGTCGGTGCGGGGCAAGTCCGCGCTGGTGAGCGGGGTGAACCTGCTGCCCAATATCCTGTGTCAGTTGGTGATGGCGGTGGTCTCGGGGGTGTTGAGTACGGGTTTCCCTCTTTCTTTCTCCCCTGTAGTTTCTTCATTCTTTACTCCGTCGTCGGGCGCCGATCAGATGCAAATGAAGCTAACGATGATGAATGACAGCCTCCAAACTCGGCTACTACCTCCCCTGGGGCGTGCTGGGCGCCATCCTCGACTCCGTGGGCAACGGCCTTCTCTCGACGCTGGGGCCGCACACCTCCGTCCCCAAGTGGGCGGGATACCAGGCCCTTGTAGGGTTTGGTCGCGGTGCGATCTCGCAAGTTGTGAGTCACCTTGTTTCGCCCTGTCGCACTTAATCGCCCATCAAGCTAACAACGAAACAGCCAATGATCGCCATCCAGAACGCAGTGCAAGGCGACGACGTCTCGACGGCGATGGCGATGATGACCTGCGCGCAGACGTTCGGGGGCGCGATCTTCCTGGCCGTCGCCGAGGTGATCTTCGCGCAGGCGCTGCGCACGGAGATCCCGCGGTATGCGGCCGGCGTCGACGCGGCGGTCGTCATCCAGGCGGGCGCGACGGGGTTCCGGTCGGTGGTGTCGTCCGAAGACCTGCCGGCGGTGGTGCGCGCGTTCGCCAAGAGCGTCGATCAGGTGTTCTATCTGACGACGGCGCTGTCGGTGGCGCAGTTTGTGTTCGCGTGGGGGGTCGGGTGGCGGAGTGTGAAGAAGGAGAAGAAGGAGGAGGGGATTGAGATGGAGGCGTGATGTTTGGGGCTGGGGTGGGGCTTGAGAATGAGTGTATTGATTTAGCGTTGCTCTCTGCTCTGCGTGTATATTGTGATGGTTTTTATCCTCAATGGATTGTAATGTTTTCGATGCTTGATGTGTCTTCTTTACATTGTCCGGTGCAGCCGGGGGTTATTGGTGTATACTGAGGTGCAGATGGTTTTAGTCTTGAGTCTAAGCCAGTGCAAGATTACGAGTTCCACCACATGGCTGGTGACTAGAACACAACCGCATGCTGCATCAGACCATTCCCCCTCAATGGATGCATTAGTGGTCTCTGATCACACTATTTGCGGCCCGTCCCTCCATCTAATGGCTCCTTGGAAGAGAAGTCTGATAGGGTTAGTGGCTGGGGCAGTGCCCGCATATCAGGTTCATGGTTGAGATGTGAAGCAGGAATGTTAACAAGGCAGTGCTCATGATAGCATGTCCAGTCGCAAACAAGCTGACGGAAGTTACTCTGCAGTTTCACACAAGTGTCAAGCATTCATTCCAAAGCGTGATCGTCTATAGTAAGTGCATGACGACTCAGTTGCACTTTACGAACGCTCACTGGCGTAACACACAAGTCCAAACCCCAATCCATAGCACACTCTCCATACCAGATCGAAATCACACTGCTCAGCCCTAACTCTCCCGCGATCTAACACGCGTATGGCTACTAGCTGCAAACACCATCGGTGAAGCATCTACCCCCAGTCCAAGATATCCCCCGGAGAATACATACCAACAGACCCCTTCCTCCCCTCCCCCTTCAAGTAAGCATGATAATCCGCATCCTCCTCGCCGCCCACCGACCTCACCGTCAGCACCGTCGTGTCCCCGCGCGCGGTGCTCCGCCCAAACACACTCCGCAGCCCCGTGATCGTCCCGCGCGGGATGCGCGGGAACCTCCATCGATTCTTGTCGTGGGTAGTCCGCGGCCTGTACATACAATGCAGTAAAACATGGTGGTCAGAACCTCTGCGTCACAACGCAGACTTACAATGGACAATACTGTCACTCAAATGTCGCTCGACGAAGACCACCACTTTGGCTGCCATTCGCCCAATTGCAAGTTGCTTGGGCTGCTGTTACGAATATTCATCTTGTGAGTTTGCCTGATGTGATATTATTCTCAATAATTCTCAACAATTGCTAGTGTTCCATCTATACAGATATCTTCCAACTCTCAGTCACTCTCTTGCTCACTGGGCAACTTCATTGTGATCATTGGTAGCTCTGCCCAGAAGCGCTTGAATAGCTCACCAAAGACCTCAAGCGCCGGACGTGCATATGTCTTGCCGTGGTGACAACCAACCATGACGGCGAACACGGACATACTGCCCATATCCACAATCCATGCTCCGCTATCGACGGGGTGGCCCGGCATCGACAGGGTATACATCCGGCCGACGGGCGGCATGTCGATCACGGTGAGCTTGCGACTCTGAAGCCGAAGCGGACGGTGATTGATTGCAACCCGCAAGCGACCCGCCGGGACCCTGCACTTCGAGATCGACTGCAGCGAGGTTGTATCCTCGTTGAGAAGCAGCTCCTGGTCATCCAGACGGACCAGAGCCCAATTCCCTTGCAGATGCCAGAACCTCGGGTCTGCGGCAAAGAGACCCGAGAGGTCAGGGACCGCCCCGATCCGCCTGTCGGTCTGGTAATCATAGGCCTCAAATGCGAAGAATGGGCACGTACGCATGTTGCTCGAATGGAGCGGGGAGTGCCCGGATTCCTCGTAACTGGAGATGGGCGCCCACAGGCCTTCCTCGGCCTCCTGCTCGGCCACCGGAGTCTTCTGCTCGATGAACATGACCTGTTGGTCCGGGTCCGCGAGGAATGGGCGAAGGACGGTCAACCCGTAAAAGGTCCCATACAGAGAGATGATCCCTCCGATGGTGGCTTCTCGCCGTGGATCGCCTTTTTCGTTAACGTAGAATCGGGACCCGCAAATTCGGGAAGCCATTATTACAAATTGGAGGCCTGATATGAGGATTGGGGCTTGATATCAGCCGGTCGTTCTCCTGGGATCGCTGGTATTTAATCTCCTGGTCCAGCTGCAGATTTTGAGCTTTCTCTTTGCATTTCTTTATATTGATGGAGACAGTCTCGCGTTCGGTCTGAGGCGACCCATTATATTAATGTCGACACCTCCCGCTACTATTCTTTGAAGCCTTGCATTGTCGCCTTTACTGCTTTCAGGTCTATGTTTTGCTTGATCAATGTCTTTCAGTATCTGCGATCCGAGGGACCCTGACAACTGTTGAATTCAGGGCTCTGCACAACTGGCTGTTCGCTCCCTGGTTCTATCCACAGTACTGAACAGCCCAATCTCGATGCAAATGTCTGGAAGTGATCCACCGGCACAGGTACTTTTAGTAAACTATACATATCCTCGAGCCCACCCGTACCCTTAACCAGTGCTTTGAAATCTCACAGAAACAGAACCGAACCATACTTTTAGTACCAAAATATCGCCAACCATCTACAGTCTACTGCTCTAGATCACCGCACTGCGTTTCATAAAGCCCACAATGCGCCCAAACATGTCTACGGGGTTGGAGTACATGGGGAAATGACCACTCTGGGAGATCTCGGCCAAGGCGACCCCATGCTCGCGCAGGGTGCCCAGATACGACAGGTCGCGGTTCAGCTCGCCGTACATGAACATGCGCGGACACTGGAGCGCCAGGAAGCGGTCCATCAGATCGCCGTCATCGGACAGCTCCGTCATGGACCGGAAGATGGGCTCGATGGCGGCGGGCCGGACGCGCGCGGCCAGCGTCGACGCGTACAGTGCCGTTGAGTAGGCCGGGCTGCCGCGCGTGCGCTCGATGAACAGCTCCAAGAACTCCTCCGGGGTGGACCCCGGGTGGGTGAAGATCTGGCGGCTGAGGAAGCAATCCTCCGGGGCCAGGTTGCCCTTGATATCCACGAAGCTGAGGATGCGGTCCGGGCGGCGGTCGGCCAGCATCAGGGCCGTGAGCCCGCCCATCGAGTGGCCGATCAGGTGGCAGTGGTCGACGCCGTAGTGGTGCAGCACGGCTTCCGCGGTGGCAACCATGAAGCCGATGGTGGCGGCGGTCGGGTCGGCGGTCTCGGTCGCGCCGCAGCCGGGCGCGTCGTAGGCGATGAACGTGTGGTCTTTCAGCGGTCGCTGGAAGATCAGATCGTGCAGCTCCTCTTTGCACGAGCCGAAGCCGTGCAGCCACAGGATGGCGTGTTGCGGGCCCCGGCGGATCAGCGCGGATACTTGCAGCGGGTTCCCCTCCACGGTGATCGGAAGAGTCTCGTATTCGGGGGTTTCGAAATTCATTGTCCTGGGGGGGGGGGGGGGGTTTCTCTGTATTTCGCTTTCTGGCAAGAAAGTGCTGTGGGAGAATTCTATGCCGTAGAACTAATATCCGGTGGTGTTTGTCGATGGCAGCCTCGACTCCCAACGATTGCTGCCGACTAACAGTCAAAACGCTCGTAGGCCAATGGTAACCATTCAGTATTCAGCAGATAGTTATGCAAGTGGTACAATAAAGTCCCATGGCTCGATAGCATGGGTGGCATGCGAATAGTATGAGAATCATGGCGATGATCGAACTAGTTAAAGTAGTTGACAAAAGGCAAAAAGGCAAATCAGAAGACAAGGAACCGGTTTTGGGAGGGATCTTCTGGCTGTATAGGGTCACGTGGGACCTTATCACATCACGTGAGATGGAATGATCTCATCCCCTCATCCCCTCATCCCCTCATTTCCTTCTCTCTGTCTCTCCCCATTTTCCAAGATTTCCCTTTCCCCTTCACCATCCGCGGTAACAGACCCTCCAGACAAGGCTGAGCCTGTTGCACTTCTCGGAGAACTGCCGAACAAGCCAAGAAGCAATCGGACCCTGATGAGCTCGCTAGTTGCTGGATGGAGTGCGCGACCCACCGGTTCCTTGTGCATCAGTCAATCACCCGCGCCTCCCGATCTTCCGATGATGGTCCATGAAGCAATGGGCCGTGGACCCAAGGGGCCCTGATGGCGTCACTGGCGTCACTGCCCGTACTTTGACTCTTCGACAATGCGGTCTCGCGACCTGCACGTTTTTTTCTTCTCTTTTCTCCTTTCATTCGTTTGAACCCTTATCCTTCTCCAAGTTGTCCGTCTCTCTTCCATTTTTTGCTTTTCCTTCTTTCCTGATCAATCAATCATATGACTGTCACCCACTATCGACACTCTTAACCTCTTCAATCTCCATCCCTCCTCACCCCTGCATGGTCTGCCCCGTCTGCCTCTGCCAGCACCCATGCCGTCCCACCATGGCTCAACAGCTAGTGACTGGCCTGAGGATCGGCTCGCCCACGACGAGCCCTCTTCCAGCGGCCATCATCGCTCCAATCGACGCGCCCACTACCATGAAAAGGGTCTAAATACCGGGGTCCGGATTATGGGTGCGCGTTCCAAGACCCCCGTGTTGCATCACAATAGCTAACAGTCACCTCTCATCCAGACGATGGCCGTCTCGATATCAAATTCCGCGACCGCAAGCCCTGGGTCACCAAGATCCTGCAACACCTCCAGTCCCAACCACCCGAACTCGAGAAAGGCAAGAACGATTTCTGTATAAATGCAGACGATTGGGACGAGGAACACCAAAGCCCCCTCAAACTCAACATCGTCATTCAAGTCGTCGGCTCCCGCGGAGATGTGCAACCGTTCATCGCGCTGGGCAAGGTGCTCAAGTCCCACGGCCATCGCGTCCGCCTCGCGACCCATCTGGCCTTTCGAGAAGTCATCGAGACCGAAGGGCTCGAGTTCTTCAGCATCGGAGGGGATCCCGCCGAGCTGATGGCGTTCATGGTCAAGAACCCCGGGTTGATGCCGCATATGAGTACGATACGAAGCGGGGCGATCCGACGGCGACGGCGGGAAATGAAGACGATCTTCTCGGGGTGCTGGCGGTCGTGCTGGGAGACTGGCGACGGGACGGGCATGCATCACATCCCCGATGATCCGTGGAGCGAGACGGGCGACTACAGGACCAAGCCATTTGTGGCCGATGCGATCATCGCCAACCCGCCCAGCTTTGCGCACTTGAGTTGTGCGGAGAAACTGGGCATTCCCTTGAACATGATGTTCACGTAGGTGCTTACGAGGCTGCACGCTTGGACTTGGTTTGTGGCTGACAACGTGTTTAGAATGCCATGGTCGGCCACGCAGGCATTCCCCCATCCGCTGGCCACGGTGCGGTCGCAAAACACCAAGCCGTCCGCGGCGAACTTTGCGTCGTACGCGATTGTTGAAATCATGATGTGGGAGGGTCTGGGAGACTTGATCAACAAGTTTCGCAAGCGCGAGCTGGGTCTGGATCCGTTGGATGCCATCCGTGCACCGAGCATCGCACATCAATTGCAGATCCCGTTCACGTACCTATGGTGAGACACTCGATTCTCTTCTACGACGCCTCTCATTGACATCTCTAGGTCGCCGGCTCTCCTTCCCAAGCCTTCGGACTGGGCCGAAAACATCGATGTGGTGGGCTTCTCGTTTCTTTCCTCAGGGTCCGACTACAAGCCTCCTGATGACCTCGCCTCCTTCCTCAAAGCAGGACCTCCTCCCATTTATATCGGGTTTGGATCCATCGTCGTCGACAACCCAGGCGCATTGACCAGGATTGTCTTCGAGGCCATCAAGGCGAGCGGCCAACGGGCCATTGTGAACAAGGGTTGGGGCAATCTCGGGGCCGACGAAAAGGACATTCCCGACAACATTCTGATGATCAGCAAGGCTCCACACGACTGGCTGTTCCAGCACGTCTCCTGCGTGGTGCACCACGGTGGGGCCGGCACTACCGCCGCCGGCCTTGTGCTGGGATGTCCCACCGTGATAATCCCCTTCTTCGGCGATCAGCCCTTCTGGGGCTCCATCGTCGCTCGTGCGGGTGCGGGTCCACAGCCGATTCCGCACAAGCAGCTGACGACGGAGAAGCTCACGGAGGCGATTAAGACGGCATTGGAGCCCTCCACCAAAGAAAAGGCCAAGGAACTCGGCGAGCAGATGCGCACGGAACAAGGGGTGCGGAATGCGGCCATAAGTTTCTATCAACACCTGGACTTGCAGAGTCTGCAGTGCTCGATCTGTCCCCATCTCCCGGCCGTATGGTGGGTCCGGCATTCTCATATCAAACTCAGCACATTCGCCGCGGCAGTGTTGGTCGAGACGGAGCTGATCGACCCACGGAATGTGGTCTTGTGAGTTATCATGTACCACTGTTTGTCAGCAACTCACGCTAAACTCCATCAGATACCGATCTATCGAATACGATACCAACCGTGACCCTCGCGGGCCTCTGACCGCCGGCGCCGAGGTTCTCTACGGCATTATCTCCGGGTTCGTCAGCGGCATCGCCGACGTCCCCAGCGGCGTGGCAACGATATTCTCCACATCTCGCGAGCAACGGCACCGTCGCCGGAAGGAATGGAAGCACGTGCGCGAGCTCCAACAGCGGGACGGTGCGTCGTCCCTCTACCGGCGCACGAAGACCTCTCTGGATTCAGGGGTGGGGGATGAGGGCAGTCAACCGAATCAAGGCGACCTCCAGAGAATGCGCGCGCAAGCGAACAGGCCCGCCAACACTGCCAGCCACTCCCGTCCGTCATCCGACGAGTCCGACGAGGCCTATGTCTCCGCCGAAGAAGGCAACCTCAGCGACAGCGACAGCCAGTCAAGTCGCTCTGATCAAGGCGAAGAGACCAGTCCCCGGACGAGTTCCGGTAGCTCCCAGACGACGTTAGAGCCGGACACCGACCCGGTGATCGGCGAGGAGCTCGACCTCGAGCGGACGATCACCCGGCTCCGCACGCGCGAGGAGTCCGGCGCGAAGGAGTTCTTCGCGGAAGCTACCTACCACGCCGGGAAGATGGCCAAACACATCCTCAACTGGGCGATCATGATCCCCACTGACGTGACGTTGAGTCTGTCGAAGGGGTTCCACAATGCCCCTAAGCTGTATCACGATTCCACCGTGGAGAAAACGCCCAAGGTGCTGGGCGTGAGGAGTGGGTTCCGCGCGGCAGGCACGGTAAGTTCTCCCCGTTGGAGCAGGACGGAGTCTGGTGGCTGACAACATGGGCAGGAATTCACCCATGGCCTCTACCACGGCGTGACCGGCTTGATCACCCAACCGATGCTCGGCATGGAGAAATCCGGCGGCGGCGGCTTCGTCAAAGGAATTGGCAAGGGGGTGGGTGGGGTGTTTTTCAAACCTACTGCCGGTAAGTTGGTTTGCTCCTGTACAATTGTTGTTCGGGTTCAATGTGCTGATCGAGAGCGGTAGGCATTTGGGGCCTGGCAGGCTACCCGCTGGACGGGATCCACAAGAGCCTGCGGAACTCCCTGGCCAAGAGCAAGACGAAGGAGATCCTCACCTCGCGGATCAAGCAGGGCATCGAGGAGATGAGTGCCGCGACGCCGCAGCAGCGGGCGGAGGTCATCCAGCGGTGGAATCAGCTGGTGAAGGCAGAAGGGGGTGCTGGGGCGGATAGTGGTAGTGGAGATTCGCGTTTATGATGATGACGAGGATGAGCGAGGGAACTAGAACTCAATCAGATTTATAATACTGTACAGTACAAAGACACAGACCATGATACATGAAGATCAAGAGCCACGAATGACACCACTAACTTGCTTTGTTCATCCGAATCTAGGGTATGTCCTTAGCAAATAGGGGGTGCGGTAGTAGTATGCGGTCGTAGCACTACCATAATATCGGTTTGGCTGTACGGTACCCCTACATTTATACTGGTGAGCCCTGCTTATTATCTCACCAAGATGACTCTAGCTGATTTCGAGGAGGTAAACTACTTCTGAGAAGACCAACTTATGATTCGAATTCGCAAGCCTTGCCCAACTTGCCAATAAGTCTATACGAAAAGCACTGACCGTTGTAGATGGATGATATCTTATCTGGGACACAGGAGACCTCGACATGGCTTTTTCCTCTTCATCCACTTTCAGCGGTCCACCGCCGAACGCATCCTCAACCATGCCAGTCCCACATGAACCCCAACACCCCCAACCGAAGCCCACAGCAGACAACAGCCTACTCTACAAACCGCGGCGCCGAAAGCAACGCCAACGCATCCGGAAACCGCGCAACCCGCTGACCGGTCTCCAGCAGCATCCGCGCCAGCGCCGCAGCCCCCTTACCATCCCACACATCGCCGGAAGCAAGAACCTGGACCTTCAGCTCGCCGCCGCCGACCGTAATGCACCGGACGAGCACCTGGCCCGGCAGGCAGATGCGGAGGTGGGCGGACCGGAACGCGGTGTGTGCGCCGTCGAACGCGAGCGGCGGATAGTCCTCCCGGGGCAGGTGGTTGAAGATGCACCCGAAGCGCGTGCCGGGGGCCCAATCTGTGCTGCGGGCGGTGATTTCGTCCAGGTCTAGCACGCTGTAGCGCGCGATCTGCACGTACTGCTCGTGCAGCGCGTGGCAGAGCTCCCGCGCCGTCCACGATTGCCCGGCCTCCAACGGCGGCGGCGGCGGCAGCTGCACGCGCACCGGGTTGATGTTGATGCAGGGTCCTAGGATGGTCGTTGCGTCCTGCACCGGGTTGGCGCGCGTGTCCATCACCGGGCCGAAGGTAATGTCGCTGCTTTGGGTGTGGTGGGCTAGTGTGTAGGCTAGGGCGGCGTTCATGAGCGTGGGGAGGGTGATGCCCGGTAGGTTGGTGGGGGGGAGTGCGCCGGTTGCGGTCTCTTTGGTGTCTGTGGCGCTGCTGCTGCTGCTGTCTTCCGGGGCAGTGGTTGTGCCGGGCAGAGTCGTCATCCTGGCGCCTCGGAGGTAGTGTCTCCAGAAGGTGAAGGCCGCGGCGGACCGGTGCTTGTGGCGCCCGTACACGTACTGCGCGAACGGGGTGGCCGGGGTGGAGGGCAGGACGCCACCGGCATTGTATGCGTGCGTCAGGTCGGACGAGAGAAACGGCAACGACAGTCCGTCGTACTGCGCGTGCCAGAGCTGGATGACGAAGAGATGTTGCGTCGGCGACTGGGAGAACAATGTGAAGCGCGTGGGCGGTTTGCCCAGAGCCAGAGGGTTCGGACGGTCGAGATTTGAGAGGTCGTAGTGTGGAAGGTTAGGGCAGTGTGGGGCGTCCGATGCATTTTGGGCTGCTGCTGCCACCCGGTGGGAGAAGGCCTCGAAGGATCGCAGGATCACTTGGACAAGCTTGTCGCGAAGCCTCGTGAAGACCGTGCGCAGGATGCTGTGCTTTTGCACCACCGCTCGACAGGTTGCTTGGAGCCGGTCGGGATCCATGGGCCCGTTGATGGTGAAAGATGTGGTCACTGGAGTCCACTGGGTCAGAAACCAGAGCTGGCATCCTGTCAACGGGAGGATTTCGAGGATCGCGCCTGTCGACGTGAGCCCTAGCTCGCCGAGCTCGGCCGGGGTGAGAGACGAAGCGTCGTAGTCAAGGAGAGAAAAGGGAGGGAAATCTCGGTGCTGGAGCATGGGGCTCGAGAGCAGCGAGGTCTGCATCTCCTGGGCCAGACTCGCCACGGTGGAATGCTGGAAGAGGTCGCGCACGGTGATCGCACTATCCAGCTGGCTGTTGATTCGCGTCACCACCTTGGTGGCTTTGAGTGAGTCTCCACCGTAGTCGAAGAAGTTATCGGTGATGCCAATCTCGATACCCAGGATGTCGCTGATGACTTGAGCCAGGGCATGCTCGGTGTCGCTTCCTGGGGCTATTTTGTCTGGGATCACCTTCGATCTGGCGCACATGTGGGCTTGCTTTGCGAGCGCCTGCCGGTCGACTTTGCCGTTATTGTTGATGGGCATCTTGTCCACGACCACGATGGACTGGGGCACCATGTACTGAGGGAGCCGGGCCTGAAGCATCTGTCGTAACTCGCGTTGGGTCCTCTGGTTATATCGCTGTTGCAGAGGATGGTTACTCAACGATCGAGAAGGCCGACCCGCATGGTCAGTGGGGAATCGGAAGAGTACTCTGCCTGTCTTGCTCTTCGCATGGTTGCGGTGGAAGATAGCATCCAGTCCACCACGCTGGGAGTGCTGCCGGGCCCAGCTGATCTCAACCTCGAAGCCGGTCTTCCGCGCGAGCGCCACCAGTTCCACCGGTGAAAGTGACGGCTGGGGTTCGTCCATGCGACGGAGAGTTTGGAGCCGGTGGTTACGTGCAGCCAGTGCTCTTACGCATTTATCGTCCAGAAGGTCAAGAACCTGCCGTTCTAAGATCGTCTTCTTGTAAGGGATGTTGCTCACAGCTACCAGAGACGACTGAGCCGACTTTTGCAAGAGCTTCAAGAGGGATCGGTGATCCAGCGCAGCGTCCATGCAGTCAACCCAGTCGCTCTCGCCAACTTCGTGGATCTGTATCGGCGGGTTCTTATCCTGCCGGGCATGTAATACAGCAGCATACCGGTAGCAGCTTAGCTCGTTCGTTGCTTCCATCTTCTTGGGCAGGATCTCGACGTGTTCGACAAGGTCAGGAAGCTGAACTGGTAGCCTCGTGAAAAATGCTGGGTCAACCAGTAACTCTTCTTCCAGGCCGGGAGCCTCAGCGATGGCCTGTTGAACGTCGTCCACAGTCGCTGCGTCGCCAAGACGATGTAACACCTTGGACACTTGGAGCTCTCCGTAGAGTGCGTAAGATCGTATATCCCCAAGGAAGATGCGTTTCACACCCTGCAGTTGCACAAGATCCTTGATCACCTTCATCAAGTACCCCGGGGAAGGAAAGGACTGGATAACCGAGTTCAGTATAGCAAGATCATGCGACTGGTCGCTCTGAATATGGCAAATGTCCGCCGCCGTGCCGACTTGCATCTGGATCTTCTCCGCCGCCCCAGGGATTGACCGAACAGCCGCGTTGACAAGGTGAACTGCATTGCTCGCCGGCTCCAGGCCGACATACCGCTTGAAATGAGGGATCAGATTGAAGAGAACCATCCCACTCCCAGTACCTACTTCTAGCACCGTATCATGCGGGCCGCTACTCAGGATAGTGTCGATAGTGTCGTCCAGCCATTCGTTCATCTCCGCTGTGACAATATTGCTTCCATCGTATATCGAGGTCCATCCGACGAAGTCTCGACCAACTGTGTCGGGTTCCAACTTGGGCATCGCACCGTACTTTTCCACGATGAAGAGCTCCGTCCAGCTTCTGACCTGCTCGGCCGTATTTTCGTCAGCAGGGGCCACACCCGAAACTGGAGCTTGCGGTTCATGGACTGTGACAAAGCCGAGAATGCTAGAGCCCCCGTCTTCCTGCTGCTGTATCACAGCCACCGCATCACTGACCGAGCTGTGGGCGAGCAGGACGTGCTCGATCTCCGCGAGCTCGACCCGATAGCCTCGGATCTTGACCTGCTGGTCCATCCGCCCAGAGCATTCGAGTTGCCCGTCCGTTGGCCGATACTGCACGCGATCCCCCGTTCGATACACCCGCGATACACCCGGGTGCGCTGTCCGCCGATGTCCACGGTCACAAAGCGGCCCTGGTCCAGCTGCGTGTCGGTGTAGCCTCGCGCGAGGCCGTCGCCGGTGACGACCAGCTCGCCCATGACGCCGAGGGGGACGAGACGCAGGTTCGAATCCATGACGTAGGCGCCGGAGTCCGTGAGGGCACGGCCGATCGGGACCCCATTCGCACATCGTACCCCGCGAGGCACGCGGTATATCGTGCTTCCACCGGTGTTTCTCTGTCGGGCCGTACGTATTGACGACCGCCCCACCTTCGACCAGCCCCTGCGCAATGGCCAAGTCCTCCGGATTCGATCGATCGCCGGCCACCATCAGCAGGCCGAGGTTGCGTAAGGTCTGCGGGTGTTCATCCAAGCAACTTTTGAGCAGAGCCGGGGTGAACATTGCGGCGTGGACGCCCGCGGTGCTGAACACCTCGTTCAACCGGATCGCGTTCAACACGGCCATGTCGTCGATGCAGACCAGCGTGCCGCCGTTCAGTAGCGCCGTGTAGATCTCCCACGTTGAAATATCGAAGGTCAGGTTGGCCATGTGAGCGATCCGGTAGTCTGACGGAGAGCAAAGCAAAGTACCGTTGCTCCGCGCTAGTCGGATGATGCCGCGATGCTCGATCATGACCCCCTTGGGACGGCCGGTGGACCCCGAGGTGAACATCACGTAGGCCAGGCTCTCTGGGTGCGGGGGTGCAATCGCCGGGGTCCCATGCAGTCCGTCTGGCGCCTGATGATCCTGCCCTGGTACGCAGACAAACTCCACCCCGTCGCGGTGGACGGCCGGAGCTTTGACGTCCGATCCCAGCAGAACAAGTCGACAGCTCGGCACGGATGCCAAAATCGCATCAATGCGGCCCGCGGGGACTTTGACGTCGAGGGGCAGATAGGCTAGGTGGGCCTTGAGGATCGCCAGAAATGCCACGATCGTCTCACGGGAGCGACTGGCAGCCACCCCTACGAGGGTCTCTGCTGGAAAGCCTCGGCCGGCGAGCCAGCGAGCCAGCCGGTCCGAGCGCTGATCCAGCTCAAGATACGTCAATTGCGCCGATGCGTCCTGGACAGCCACTCGGGCCGGGCCGGCTTGCACCTGCTGCTGGAAGACCTCGACGACGCTGCAGTCCCGTGGGTAATCCGTTCGATCGATCCGGATCAGCCCCATCCGGTCGAGCGCAGGGTATCCATCTGCCAAGGGGAGACCTCTGGCCGTGGTCTCCGGCTGAGCCAGCCCTTGCTGCAGGAGGTCGCGAAACACCGCGAGGAACAGACGGATGGTCTCATGGTCAAAGAGCTCCTTGGCATATAGCGCATGACCCTGGAGCGCGCCCTCCCCCTGGAACAGGTGAAGCTCCAGGTCGAACCTCGTGGTTGGCACGACATTGATCTGCTCGGCCTGCAGGCCTTCCAGCTCGAATTGGCCGAACTCCGCTTGCGAGTGCACAGCAAAAGCCAGCTGAACCAGGGGATTGCGCGAGAGGTCTCGTCTCTTCTCCAGATGGGAGACAATGTCCTCGAAGGGGACATCCTGGCTGGCGAACGCGGCGCTGGTCGTGCCCCGCACCTGGCGAACCAGCCCCTGGAAGGGCTCGTCGTCTATCGTGATCCGGATGCACTGTACGTTGACGAAGAACCCGATCAGGTCTTCCAGCTCCTGCCGGCTGCGGTTGGCAACTGGGGTGCCGATCGTCGCGTCGCTCACCCCGGTCAGGTGGTAGTGCGCCAGCCGGAAGACGGCGAGCAGGACAATGAAAGGGGTCACTTGGCGTTCTGCACAGAACTGTTGCAGGCCCTTATAGAGTGAGTCTTCGATGCTGATCTCCTGACGCCCCGCTTGTCCCGAGAGGGACGTTGGCCGTGGTTTGTCACAGAGGAGCTCGGCCAGCCTGCCCAAGAAGATGGAAGCAACGAATGAGCTAAGCTGGTACCGGTATGCTGCTGTATTACATGCCCGGCAGGATAAGAACCCGGGATGTGGAGGGGGTCCAGTGCCGACAGAGGCGGCTTGCCTCGAATTGCAGCAGCGTACAGGGCCATCAGCTCCTTCCGGAGGACGTTCACCGACCATCCGTCAGAGACGATGTGGTGCATGACTATTGATAGCACATGGTCCTCCGGCCCCAGGCGGAATACAGAGGGCCTCCATCCGGGCGCGGTCGATAGGTCGAAGACCGTGGCGTGCTCTCGGTGCAGAGCACGCAGGAGATCTGCGTCCGTTGGCGAGGACATGTCGATCACGTTGAGTGATTTGGGTTGGAAAGGATGGACCACCTGCACGCCCACTCCGTCTTGGTGGTCGAATGTTGTGCGGAGGGTTTCATGGCGCTCGGTTAGTGCTAGTAGAGCTTTTTGGAGGGCGTCTAGTTGAAGCGGGCCTCGGAGCCGGGTTGCAAATGGCATCAGATACCAGGCAGAGTCGGGGTGCAACTGCTCCAAGAACCATAAACGTCCCTGCGCGAATAACTGTTGCACTGGACCATAGCACTGCGAGCGAGAGATCGGGACGTATTTCTTCGACCGCGGTTAAGGGTGTGATACGCTCGGCCAGCGTGACTATGTCGGAGCACTCGAAGACATCTTGCGCAGTGATGGCAACGTCGAGCTGTTTGTTGATCCGAGATGCCACCATTGTAGCATCGATGGAGTCCCCACCATAGTCAAAGAAGTTATCAGTGGCCTCAACCTTTGTCCCGAGCACGTTGCTGAATTCTGTAGCTAGAGTATGCTCGGTATCACCGGGGACCGGCATCGTGTCGGATATCGAGCAATTGTTGGCGTATCTTGTAAGTGTTGAGCAGTTGATCTTATCCTTCATGAGATATTCGTGTCAATCATCACATTCATTCAGGAGCTATTGGAGGATGAGAATAGAGCGATGACCAAAGTGAGCTGATCTGACCCCAAAACCAGAGGATGGCGGAGCAACCCTTGGTCAACGGGATTGCAGCATCTGGTCAGGTATATGAGCAAACCTCATAGGATATCAGTATCAGCCCATATGGACCTGAATGTGCTCTTCTGTGCTATATAAGGATGGATTTCGAGTTGACAGCCTTTCTTCAGTGGAACATGCACATGCAGGATGTTCACCATGGCATGATTTGGCATATGATGTGTATCTTCTGCCTTGTTTTGAGAATGCAAGCAAGCCTGGCTTTCATAATTGACCCATCGACCAATTACCCATGAAATAGTAAGGCGCTGGGCCTCCCTTCTGGAGCCGAGACAATCTTGCCCACTCCTAGACCCATCGCTCCTCTCATTGTTGGTCGTTTCGTCGCCGGGCCGGTCCGTCGACGAGTGCCGCGTGCAAGGGATATAAATATCTTCCGATCGGGATGTGCTGAAACGGTGCCGAACACATGATAAGACAAAACAATGCCTTGAGTAACGCTATAATCAACCAAAATGAAGCCAAACCGAAGTTGATCGGCAGGACTGCAGAATTAGAAACAAAAGAGAAAAGACAAGCACATTGAAGCATCGATGAGGCCCGTGTTCGATTCACGGGTGATGCATTGAATTTCACTTTTTACCCACACCCCCGCTTGTGCTACAACCGCAGCGCGGGCATTGTTTTGGGAGTATTCGGGATGGTCTTTTGTCCCGAATAGTGATCAAATCACACCATACTGTCTACTCAATGTGAATGGATAGACCCGCATGATGCCTTCCTTTTGGCTTTCGTATACAATGCTCTCGAAGTATTCACATGATCCAACCGGTCACAAAGGCTCTTATGCTCGACTACCTTCGATATAAGAAGGTGTCAGGATGTTAAGGGCTACCTGTAGGGCCGAGGCTCCAGCTAATCCTTAAAGCTCAAAGCGCATAGGAGCTGTTCCCTCTGGAACTCATTTTCCGGGTACCCCCTTTTTTTTCACCCGATCTCTTCTAAGGGGTAAAGATCATGAAATCTTGGGACGACAACAGATGGAGTGAGTTGATATCCCAAGGATCAATGAAAAAGCTTCTCGATACGGTTCTGTAACAACAGTAGACTCGTATTGCGAAACTGGAGGGAAAGAGGCTATGGTTATAAGTTCCATGGCGTATAGCTCCCATCAGATGTGAAGTAGGGCTATCTGGAGGCCTAGCCCTGAAGTAGTCGACCTTGAAATCCTGCCACTGGGATATTATCGGTACGACTATGTATACATAGAGTACAAAGTAAAGGTTCTACAGGCCTTTCTGTTATTTTCTGTAGGTTTCCTCCCACTATCAAGACAGCTCTGAGTATGACGTCCGTAGTTTCATCTACACTTTTGATCTCTCACACTATGCGTTCCTTGTTGCTATCGCCACTCTGGTGATTCCGGGCCATGTGGAAGGTACAGTACAATAGCAATCCAACGAAACGACCAGGAATGTATGTATGCGGTTGGTTCATGCCTCAGGCTCGTAACGGATATCTTTGGTGCAGTTGTTTGGCTTGCTCGGGTGGACAAGTGGGGGGGGAAGGGTTATAGGCTAAGCTACGGCCTCTTCGACCCACAGGAGGAAGGCTGAGCCTTGGCGCTGCATGACCTTACATGTATAAAATGCGTTCAAATTTGCTGATCGGGTTGGGCTCGATGAATTGGACCTAATCCCAAGCTTGCGCCTATTTTTCTATAGAGCGAGGTATCCCAGCTTGATTACACACCTTTCAGTCACGATGATTGAAACTCAGGTCGAGATTGCTGCTCCACCCTCCAAAGTGCGCGAAGTGGTAACTGTCATCTTCCATACACTACTAGGTAGCTACCATGAAACACCACGTTGACTCTCTTGGCCAATAGCTTTTGGACTCTTCAAGATACCCTGAGTGGCACACCTGTCTCATTCACCGTCTCGAAGCGAAGGATAGCACCAAGACGCTGGCGACTTTAATACTGGGCGATTTCATACGTTGTGACATAGATGGCATGAAGTTCGACGCCGAAATTACTGTATGTTGCGAATCCAGCATTTAGAAAGAAGGAGGGTGGGGGGGGGGGGGTTCCTACAGCCTTATGGGACGGAGTCAGCGCTAATCGCGTCGAAAGGAGAATTCCGAGAATCTTTTTCAGTGGCAGGGTCCCCCGGTGGCTGGCTTGATCGCTGGGCTGCATAGCTTCCATATGCTTTCTACCAAGGACGGGTCGGCGACGATACTCAAGCAAACGGAAGAGTTTACTGGTGCACTCGCTTTTCTGATGGGACCATCGTTGTTAGGTAGGAAGTTGGTGGGACAGTATAGCAGGTTCAATGCGGATCTAAAGAGAAGAGTTGAGGAGCTCAAATTGAAGGATGGATCAGCGAGGAGAGCGTGGAATGCCTGGACAGCTACATCTTGATGGCTCTCGCAGGAGAAGAGTTTGTTCTAGGGATTAGGCGAAATCGAAATTTCATCATTGGCTGTCGAATGCAATGTTGGCGAATTATGATAATGCTCCACTTCCTCGACTCGCAGAGATAGTTTCCCATCGTTCAATGCTAAGCTGCGAGGTACTATCCTTCTGCAAGTTCTCACATCGCTCCAGGGCAAACCTCTGCTGCCCATTCACGGAGTGATACTGATCTACACGAACCTCTCCCACATATGTACTTCTTCCTGGCTCACAGGGAAGCATGGCCTCTACTCCTCCATCCGAGGACGCAGTCCGAGAAAGATAGTGTACCAGGTCACAGCAAGTATGCTTGATCATGGGGATCACAGTCGGTAAACAAGCAGAGATCACTCCCGCTGCAGTCTCCACTACACACCACGTTTCCGCGTCGGCAAGGGTCCAAGCGATATCATTGACCTCGAAGGAAAAGATAAGACTAAATCGGTAAATGCTTGCAAATACGACACTAACAGAAAAAGTCATCGGATTAGGGTTCCAAAAATCGTCGAAAGCAAGGAGAGATGAGTTTCGTGTCACACACAAACTCCCGCTCAGGAAGACAAGCAAGATTGAGAACCTCTGGCTGAAATCCGCTTGAATTTTCCAAATGAGCTGACCTGGTAGGGCGAGGATGCAGATGTCCGTAACGAAGTTCGGAACCCCATTGCCGATCAGTGCGGCTTTGAGGTCTATGTGTCAAGGAGCGGGCTGGCGTCTGATTCTTAATCTGGCTGGGTGGTAGGAATAACAGCTTCTGGCTGGAAGATTCTCTATAACTGGTTCTCTGGATTCTTTACTAGCTACTGGGTTAGACTATTTTTAGATTTATAGACAAGATATAGCTTAAAGAGCTATAAACAGGATTAGAAACAAACAGATAGTTAAAAAGATTACAGATTATATATAAAATAATTAAAAAAAGTAAACAGATTAATAAAATTAAATAAATTAAATAAATTAAATAAATTAAATAAATTAAATAAATTAAATAAATTAAATAAATTAAATAAATTAAATAAATTAAATAAAT